GATCCGTAGTGTGTGCCATTTCACTTCTGTCACTACTTCGTCATCTCAGGAGCAGAAAGAAAGACACAAAGCTTGTTCAGCTTTGTGCTGCTGCTCTTTTTTTCCCCCATTTCATCATCGTCATCGTCACTGTAAAACATAATAAATTAGAAATACAAGTTAAAGAACTGTAGTGAATTGGAAAAAATACAAGGTTCTTGTAGAGTCTAGATGCTTATCAACTTCATGAAGACCGGATGTGATTAATTGCAATCGCTGGTGCTTGCTGTTGAATCCTTAATCCTTCAGCTGCGATACTATGTATGCGATAGTCTGATGGCTTGTCTATGTTGCGCGCTCAGGCACTCAACACCTCACTGCGGAAGGACATGACACAGATGGATTCAGTTGTGCCACGTGCTGATGACGTGCACATGGTTGCTGTCTTCAGACTGGAGATGGGCACGGACACCTTGGATCAAACCGTGTGTTTGTTCATGTGTATATATATGCCCAGCAATTGCCAGATGTGTACTACTACTGGCATGGACTGGTGCATGCACGTGGAAGCTATTCTGACACGATGGTCATCCTCAGCAGTGTGCCCACTGAAGTCATCACCAAAGCTGTGATGTTTTATATGGCAGAGGGAGTTTTGAAGTTTTCTGTGTATGGGCAGGTTTGGCACTGCTGAAGCTGTTTGTATGGCTTCGTGTGTGTGTGTGTGTGTGTGTGTGTGTGTGTGTGTGTGCGTGTGTGTGTGTGCGTGTGCGTGTGTGTGTGTGTTTGTTTGTGTGTGTGTGTGTGTGTGTGTGTGTGTGTGTGTGTGTGTGTGTGTGTGTGTGTGTGTGTGTGCACATGGCCACACGTGTTGGTTGTTTGCCCTGTGCTATTACAGTATGTAACTCTGCTTTTTGTGTGCGATGTGCTTATAGATTTATAGTACATGACTCTGCTTTTTGTGTGCGATATACTAGATTTATCGTACATAACTCTGCTTTTTGTGTGCTATTTTAGGTATATAATAACTCTGCTTTGTGTGTGCTATCTTGTGTGTGGGCTTCCGTGTGTGTGTTTGTGTGTTTGTATGTTTATGCACACTGCTGGAGTGTTGATTGTTTGCCCTGTGCTGTTGGCAGTATCTCTCACTCTGCTTTGTGTGCTATGTATAGTACATAACTCTGCTTTTTGTGTGCTATTTATAGTCCATAACTCTGCCCTTTCTGTGCTATTTATAGTACATAACTCTGCCTTTTGTGTTGCTATTTATAGTATGTAACTACGTTTTGTGTGTGCTATTTATAGTACGTAACTATGCTTTCTGTGTCGCAGAGGCATGTCACCGTACCAGCCAGAGCACTTCATCATAGGCCCGAAGTACCTTGATTAGGGGAATCATACTAAAACAAATGAAAGTATACCTTAGTGGGGGTTATGGCTATTGTCTATGGTCACATCCATTCTACAGCTCTACTACGGGCTTCACTATCTCTGGTTCCATGGAGGTCTGAGGAATCTGATTTAAATCCCCCTTCTCCCTCTCTCTCTCTCTCTCTCTCTCTCTCTCTCTCTCTCTCTCTCTCTCTCTCTCCCCTGACCTAAAATTAACTCGCTTTCTCTGTTCCTTACCCCCCCCCTCCTCTGTTCCTTACCCCCCCCCTCCTCCCCTTCTCGCTCTCTCTTCTTGACAGAGAAAAGTCGCTCGGTTGGTTGTCGCGCAGCTGAAGGCCTTTTTGTTGCTGTTTCTTTTTAGTGGGGGGAGGTGGGGGAGGGAGTTTATTTCAGGATGGGCGTGCCATTCTCTTGGAGCATCATGTGGTGTATACCACATGGGGCTGTTGAGGTCTCCAAGCTGGCTTGGCTGTCTGGCCGATGCCATGGTTGCCTGTCCTTCCCTTTCTTCCCTCCCTCCCCTGCGCAGTCTGCTGTCAGCACTAGCATGCCAGCATGATTGATATGTAGGCTCTTGTGTCATCTACTGCACGCCATCGTTAGGGATCTTGACTGTTTTGTCTATGGGATAGGCATATAGGGACGCTCTAGACGCAGGCTTTCATAGTTTGTGCTTTTGCCCGTCTCTTATGCACTTCCGTAAAACACAACGCACAAATGCTATGATATAAGATCATCTGTTGTTTGCGTTTCTTTCGGCTTTGCTTTTGGTACTGTCAGGCGGTTCGTGGTCTTCTGACTTTTGCCTTGGGGTTGTTGCATAGCCAGTGCATGAACCTAGTCATGAATCTAGTCATGAACCTAGTCATGAACTTAGTCATGAACCTAGTCATTAATCTAGTCGTGTGGGGATCAATAGACCAACTGAACTTTACTCGCCTAACTTATATGTGTGCTACACATGCATGCTGTCGTTGCATAGCCAGTGCATGAACCTAGTCATGAACCTAGTCATGAGCCTAGTCATGAACCTGGTCATGAACCTGGTCATGAACCTAGCTTACATGTGTGCTATGTACGCACACATGCTTTGGTTGCGACATCGCCTTCTGCTCCTGTGGGGAGGTAAGCTCTCGGTGCGCAACCCACTGACCAAATTCGTTCGCCCTGTTGTGTTTTCGCAAGTGGCTGCTCGATTACGAGCATGGCATCTGTTTGATGTACTAGTAATCAAGCTCGATTACTAGTACTTCACCTGCGTTGATCGATCGGATTTAATCAGGATTTCGTGATGCGTTTCTTTTTTCACAATTGTGCCAACAGGGGAATCGTACACCTTTTACACGTACACTTTCACATCTTACGTATGCTTGTAACGGTGTACATGTCCAATCAATTTGGAATTTTACTCGCCGATTGACTGGTTGTATTCTTCGGATATGATTGCGATTAAGATCACCATGTTCTCTTCTCTCCTCCTTTCCAAACTGCAACTTCGACTTATCATGACGAATGACCACATAATTGTCCTCGTCATTGTCTGGTGCTGCTGCTGCCTCTGTCTGTGGCCCCCCCCCCCCACCTCTCTCTCTCTCTCTCTGTGCGCCTCAAAAACACACCAGATTTCTGCTGTTAAACTGTGGAGGATCTCATATCCTACCAGCTTCACCCGAATAGAACGCCCGGTCACTATCGCTGCATCTGGACAGAAAATGCCCCCAAATACGGCTATAATGACCGGGCGTAATAATCGGGTAAAGACGGTAGTTTAAGGGGCAGATACGATTGCTATGGCGTTGAGTGGTGAACATTCTCATGCGTGGGTTGGCGGTAGAGAGAGGGAGGGAGAGAGGAAGGGAGGGAGGGAGAGAGGGAAGGTAGGAGCGTGGAGGTGTCCGGTGGATTGCTCATGTTTATGGGCTTGAGGGAGAGAGAAAGGGCGGAGCTGCTTGTCCTGCCCAAAATGCACCAAAGGCGCTGGCCGTTTATCATACCAGAGCAAGGCAGAAAAGAAATCCATCATGGTGGGAGAGAAGCAACGATTGCCCTTATGAGAGATCAGAGGACAATATATCAAGCGGAGACGGAAGGACGTTGATCATCTGCCAGAGAGAAGACGACCATTGTGATGTGCAGCCGGTGTTCGGTTGGTCTCAAGTGAAGGTCATCTAAATACCTGCTCAGGAGGAATCAGTGAGGTGACTTCTCAAGCTCTGATTTTGAAATTAATTGAAGAATGATCCTCCTTTTCGTTTTTCAGAAATGAGATGAAGGAATCCTTTTCAAAGGATCTATTTATGTACACACACACACACACACACAAACACACAAACACACACACACACACACACACACATACAC